CACCCATCCACCATAGCCAACCTTCACTTACCTTCTTCCTCCTCCATCACCCGCACCCATCCACCATAGCCAATCTTCACTTACCTTCTTCCCCCTCCGTCACCCGCACCCATCCACCATAGCCAACCTTTACTTACCTTCTTCCACCTCCATCACCCGCACCCATCCACCATAGTCAACCTTCACTTACCTTCTTCCACCTCCATCAGCCGCACCCATCCACCATAGCCAACCTTCACTTACCTTCTCCCACCTCAATCACCTGCACGCATCCACCATAGCCAACCTTCACTTACCTTCTTCCTCCTCCATCACCCGCACCCATCCAACATAGCCAACCTTCATCTACCGTCTTCCACCTCCATCACCTGCACCTATCCGCCATAGCCAACCTTCACTTACCTTCTTCCACCTCCATCACCCGCACCCGTCCACCATAGGCAACCTTCATCTACCTTCTTCCACCTCCATCACCCACACCCATTCACCATAGCCGCCCACCTCACACGTTCTTCCTCCTCCGTCACCTACACCCATCCACCATCGCCGACCACCTCACACCTTTTTCTTCGTCCGACCACCTCACACCTTTTTCTTCGTCCGACACCCTCACCCTTTCACGGGACGTAGGGGGCCCCAAGGGGCGCGCAAGAGCTTAGGTAAGGCCGGTTAGTGTACGTCAAGGGGCTAGGTCGATTAGGACGAAATAAGTGTCTCCCCCTCTCTGACTCCCTCTCTCTCTCTCTCCCCTTTCTCTTCCCTCCCTTCTCCTCTCTCTCCTCTCCGTTCCTCTCTCTCCTCTCCGTTCCTCTCTCTCTCTCTCTCTCTCTCTCTCTCTCTCTCTCTCTTTCTCTCTGTTACATGCTGAGAGCCTACACACGGGCCCCTTACGGGACCCGAGGTTGGAATAGGGCCCCCAGGTCGCGTCACTGCAACCTGAAGGCCCTATGGTATTTTTACTTGGGCCTGCATTTGAAGAACGCCAGCTTTAGAGTATTTTTATATTCTTTTATTTTTTTAATTGTTGTTGTTTTTCTAACGTGTGTGCTGCTGTCCGTTTTGTGGCCAGGTACACGTTCTAGGGCCAGGACCTGAATCAGGCCCAGAGGCTTAGCCTTCAAAAACGTCTGGACCGTTTTTTTGTTTTCGGACAGATTTTGGACCATTCGGACCTGGACCGACGTTCAGGCCCGATGCATTCGCATAGGCCCTGAATCGGACCACGTACCGAACAACCCAGCCCTGGGCAGGGCCTGGACGTCCGCTAGRGACCCAGGCAGGCCGTTTTAGGCCAAGGGTTGAACCAGTTTCGAAACCTGCGATCTGGACCGTGGATCGGATTTCGATCTGCGCGGTCCAGAACGCAGGCCGTGGGGTTTCAGTCCTGGCCCAGCGCTACTTAAGCTGGGCCGTTGCCCAGTTCGGACAGAAGGTACCAGGAAAAATCCAGCATTATGCTGGTTCAGGAACTTGGCTGCTGCGCTATTTTGGAGACTGCAGTTGCGCTGCTCATCGGTCATGAGGCACAGCGCTGGAGGAGTCCAGTGCCGAGGAGGGTAGTGGAGAGAGAGAGAGAGAGAGAGAGAGAGAGAGAGAGAGAGAGAGAGAGAGAGAGAGAAGAGGACTTACCTGCCCAGCGCCATAGCTGGCTCCGCGGTACCTGCAAGATCAGCCATCGCCAGGTAAGCGCAGAAAGCACCTAGCTTTCTTCTTCTTCTTCTTCTTCTTCTTCTTCTTCTTCGACTTCTTCTTCTCCTCTCCTCTTCTCCTCCTACTCCGAAGTTCTTCTTCTTCTTCTTCTTCTTTTTCTTCTTCTTCTTCTTCTTCTTCTTCTCAGAGTAGAGATAGAGGTAACTGCAGACATTGTCTGGACACGGCATTCTGCCCTATTGGACACGACATTCAGATCGGACTTGCACTCTACATTGGGATTGAACTGTGTGCGACATTCGGAGATCAGATTTGGGTTGGACTTGGTTACCTCCGTCCCTCCCCCTTCTCTCTCGCATGTCTATGGATCTCTCCCCATGTGTGTGAGCGGAAGGGCAATCTTTCTGATGTCTTGCCCTTCCGAAGTTTTCTCCTTTTTCATGTTGTTGTCCACGTGTCCTTTGATACTAAATCTTCCGCTGCGCTGCTTCCCAGCCCATGATGATAATGATACGAATGTGTGTTGTTGATTTCTCGTTGGTTCACCCTTTGCACCGTGCACATTGACATCTCGTGGATGTTGCACCTATGCTGCTGGTTGTTGCCACTTTCGTCATTGCTAGATCCTAGGCTTTCAACGCATTTCACTTTCTGATATGCTACAAGTGGTATCGGAGCATTGGCGATGAATCTTGGCAACAACCAATCAATCGATTGATTGATTGGATTGGCGGTTTGCCACCAATCAATCTTCGATTGATTGATCAATCAATCAGGAGATTGATTGATTGATTGATTGATTGATTGATCGATTTATTGATTAATTAGGTTGATTGATTATTTGGCAATTGTTTATTTAATCTTGGAAATTTCCCGGAATTAATTATTTGATTATTTTTTTTCCCAAGAAATTATTTCTTTTTCCGAGAATTTTTTTTTTCGATAATTTTTTTTTTTTCCGATAATTTTTTTTTTTCCGAAAAATTATTTTTTTTCGAGAATTTTTTTTTTCGAGAAATTATTTTTTTTTCGAGAAAGTTCTTTCCGAGAAATTATTTCATTTTCAGAGAATTTTTTTTTGCCGAGAAATTATATTTTTTTCTTTTCTGATGAAAGTCTTCGAGAAATTATTATTCTTTTCTGAAAAATTATTTTTCCGCGAAATTTGGTTTCCGAGAATTTTTTTTCGTTCTGAGAATTCCTTTTTCCGAATTTTTTTACCTTGCTTAATTGTTAAATGTCTGCATTTTGATAATTTCGTGATTCTTTTGTTTTTTCTGAAACTCTCCCTCTACACTTTCACTGCGTAGGTCTGCAAATTCCGTTCTTTTTTTTCAAAAAAAAAACGGCATTTTTTCTTTTCTTTTTTGCAACCTACTCCTACTCTGAGTTTGTAAAGATACTTCTTTTCTGATTTTCTGCAGTTTGAGCACCGAGGGTTCACAATTGCTTTCCGCATCACCTTCGGCACTCAGTGGGATTGGACAGTCTTTCTTTTCGAATTTTGCTTTATTCAAAATTATTATTATTTTTTTTTTCCCCTTTTTTGACTAGGAAACTGTTCAATTTTGGATCTGTCCGATCCTTCCCACTTGTCCGCTTCCTACCTATTCCTCCCCCTCCAGTCCGGGTACTGGGCCAGTCCATCAGATTGGCCCTCGGAGGACTCTTCAGACTTCGGGCACAACAGTGCATGACACTGCTCACTCGATCACAGACCAAGGCCATGGACCGGAAGGCGGGAGAATCCCTCCTGGCCTATGAGGAACGCCTGACGGCATTCATTCAGGAGGCCAACGATAGGGCYGCCGCCGCGGCCAAGGAACGTAATCGGCTTGAACAAGAGGAGGAGGCCAAGCGACAGAAGGAGGAACAGGACCGACTTCGTCAAGAAGAGGCAGACCTGCAGGCGGCAGCCGAACACCGGTCACGCCAGCGGAAACGACTGTTCACGCGGGAGACCGTGATCGGCGATGAGGCCGCACATTGGGTGGAAGAGGCATCTACAGACGGGGCCCCAGAGACTGAGAAAGGGCTGTCAGCCCTTGCGCAGGTCTCCCACGACCTCGTGGCCACCTGCGCTCTGCAGCAGGAGGAAATCCTTCACCTGCAGCAGATATTGAACCAGATGCTCGCACGGCTGCAGGCGGTGGAGAAACAGCCAGCTGCTGTAGCAGTCGCAGGGCCTTCCAACCTTACCACCCGTGTGCAAGTTTTGGAGGATAACGTCAGCAACATCAAGCGTGTGCATCAGGACTTCCGGACGTCGCAGCAAGCAACGAACTCGCAGTTGGAGACGCAGGTCCAGGCTGCTGCCACCGTGACGCCCGCCGCTGCATCCTCTCGGCGCCCACCGAAACTAGATGACATTCCAGTTTTCTGCGATCAGTCCAAGACGGAACCGATCCCGTGGTGGCGCCAGTTTACTCTCAGGCTCAACATGCACCATGTCCCGAACAACGATCGACATCCGTGCTTGTACCACCGATCTGGTGGTGCGTGTCAAGCATGGCTGGACAACATCTTGACCAGCCACGGCGTAGCAGTGTCGGAACTGCACACCAAACTCACTTGGCAAGAGTTGACCGACGCCTAGCACAAGCGATTCCAAGTGGAGCCGCCCGACCTGCAAGCGATGGACAAGCTCAACAAGCTCCATCAGAACACGCTGCTCAGTCAGGACTGGATTACCGAGTTCCAAAGACTCGCCTCCACACCTGACCTGCCGCTCGCATTCCGCGCCATCAAGCACGTGCTTATCATGCGCTCGTGTCCAACTCTGCAAAACGCGCTGACGCAGATTGCAGAGACACTCGACACATCTGACAAGCTTTTCAGCACAGCGTCACGGATCATTCTCACGAATATCGAAGCCCGCAACGCCTGCCGATCTTCCGCGACGATGAGCGGCACCCAGCCCAAGCCAAAGGTGGCTTGCATTACTTCTATCGAGGCTGCAAAACCAAACGAGGGTGAAGTGTTGGCAGCTGCCCGGGATGGTGGCCGGCCGCGCAACAATCATAGCCGCGACAAGACGAAGACTCAGTCCACCTCTACACCGAGCACCGGATCAGCCGCCGACGAACCTTGGGCATAATACGGACTCTCGGCGAATTCTTATCGTACGAGACTCAAGTACCGTTACTGCCTTTGGTGCAACAGCACCATCCACGATGCTGCACATTGCCCCACCAAGGGGAAACYCCGTCAGGGAAAGTAGGCRCCGCYGAGGGTGACTCGACACCTCCCTCRAYGCCATCGGAAGCGGTTGTGCGCAYGACCGCCCTTTCTTCCGAGGCAYATGCGGATGTCGGGAGTCTTCCACTTTCGTTCGAAGACTTCGCTGCTCGGCTCGTTCCTTCACTGGATGCTTCTCAAGGACAAGATACATGTGCGGCTTTCTCACCGTCCGAAGGTTCTTCCGCCAGTTCGTCTTCATCAAGGGATTCGGCAAGCGTGTTCAACGAGGAGGCTTTGGACCCGCTCATGCCCAAGGACTTCGCTTGGATTCCTCTCCCTACGACGGGCAACCTTCCGGGGCCGCAAAGC